AGCCCTCCGAGCTCGCCCTGCCCTGAGGTTGGCGTATGTCAAAGTGATGATCAGGACACAAAGCTGAGGAAACCAAGAGGCCAGCTCTGATTCCTTAAGGCTTCTCACCAAGGGCCAATGCACAGCACCATGCACCCCCAGAAAGGGGTCAGCCAGGGCCACCCCCTCCACAAACCTCCTGGGCACAGCAGGAGCCATGGAACAGACACTGAAAGGGCCACGTTCAGACAGAGGGAAGCTAGGCAGGAACCAGCACCACTCATCATCGCCCTGCAAAACAATGGGCAACCCAACCCAGGGAGGAGGGTTTCAAAATTCACCCCCCACAGGGGGAAGAAGGCAGAAAGCCTCCAACTCTTATTCCAGATTCCACAGTCGTGGCGGGGGAGCTGTAACATTCTCCATAACATTCCTTGTTTCTAAGCCTGCGGATGAAGAAGAGTGGTGAAATTAAGGGACTGGGGGTGTGGCATCATCAACGCTCATTTCACTCCTCTGTAGTTTTCTCTCTGCTCTTTGCAGACTCTTGATATAATCAATTCATTTGCAGTCACAGCATCACAAAGGAAAGAGCCTAGGGACCTCCCCAAGGTTCATACTGCAAGTAAAGACATTTTTCCATGACTTTTATTGTGTTCCCCCCCCCCCCCCCCCCCCCCCCCCCCACATAAGTGAGACATTTAAAGGGGAGTTATCCATATCTAACACTTTTGCTTTTTTAAGTGTGCTTTCCACCCCCCTCCCCATCCACTCAGACAGCTGCCGATAGAGCAAAGCAGGGCATAGGGCAGCACTGTTAATTTTAGCAGAAGGTCCCAAGAGAGGGAGGCAGCCCCGAGCTGGGCAGGGGATGGAAAGTCACAGCGCTCGCCCGCAGCCCTGCTGCTATTTTGGGGCTGACCACGTCCCACCTTGCCCAAACCCACAGGCACGGAGCAGCCCCAGGTCCTCCTACAGCCCCAGTACTGCTGCCAAACCCAGCCGAGCTGGGCAGTGGTTTTCAAAGGGAAGTAAACAGGTTTCAGGGCTAAACTGAGCTCCCCAGAACTCCCCAGAACTCATCACACTGGAGCAGTGATGAGGTATTTTCTGCATATGCCCTCATATGCAGAACACAGCATCCTGCTGTGTTTTCAGCCAGTGTCCTCTCTGGTTTCTTTCACGCTGAAAAGTGAAACCCTTACAAATCAGCTCGGGACAGATGACAGCCCTGCTGTCAGAAAGCATCTCTTCCTGTCTCCCCTACACCACCCTTGCTCATTTCTGAGCCCACCTGTGACTCCTTTTTCCCTCTGCACAAGATCCTCCCAAATATGTCCTGCCAAAACCAACTCCGTTTTGTCTCCTGCTTGAGGAGGTTTATGAAGCTTCCTGCATCTGGCAGCCCAGCACGATCATCTGGGACACCTCAAGCCAGGGCTTGTCCTGAAGTGAGCTTGGCTCCAGCAGAAAGTGTCAGAGCAACAGATAGAAAGCTGCACATTCCCAGAGTGTGTGCACGCTCCTGGGGTACTCCAGCACTCACCATGTGCCCTGCTGAGCCCCATTGGGGTGCCAGAGTGGAGGCAGCTGATCCCAGAGACCTTCCTGAGCCCTTCAAGTGTTCAAGCCTTTGGGGGCTCTCTGCTGCGTTTCCGTGCCAAGGAGCTGCCCTGCAGCCCACCAGCCTCCTTTGCTCTGTGTCCCAGGGGCTGGAAGGTGGATTCATGTGTATTTCCTCAAGTAGCTCTATTTGTAGCTTCAGGAGCTGCTAAGCTGCACCTGTCAACCCCAGAAGGATTCAGGAGTGCACCTTAGGCAAACACTTGAAGCGAGGTGGGGCTGCCTGCAGCCTCCAGCATTCACTGCACTATTCTCAGAAGCTTTGTGGCACATTCTGCACATCACATGTACCAGAGCCAAGAAGCTGGGCTGAGCCTTCACCCCACAGCCCAGGCACACAGCACTCCCGTGTTCATGAAGAAATGCAGAACAGCCCCTTGCAGCAAGGAAGTCCTTTCAGGAAAGGCAACGAGGCCCTTCGGATACTGGAGATGCTGGGCTCATGCAGGGACACACTGAGCAAAGGGTGAAGGCTCCTTCCCATGGAGGAGCCCACGCACACAGCGGGAACACGGAGCTGCTGCCGGGCTGTGACTCACTGCAGAGCCACGCACAGCTGGGCTTCTCCTCCCCTCCCACAGCCCTCCGGCTGAAAATCTGCAGTGACAGCCACTCTTCTCTCTCCATCTGCCTCAAGCAGAGCCAGTGCCTGCTCACCTGTGTCACCCTCTTGCAGAGCCCTCCAGGAACAGGCAGTGGAAGAGATGCTGGGAGAAGCAGTGCTCCACACTCATTCACTCATCTTCCCCTCCCACTCCATCCTTCCCCACTGCACCCCATGGCTGCAGCTCACAGCTGTGTGTCCTGAGCTCACTGCACAGTGATCAATGACATCTCAGTGAGCAACATTCCCACAGACATCCCAGGGCACCCTGCCTATCTGTGTGCACTTTGGGTTTGTTGTTTGGCAGTAGCATCCACCAGCTATAAATGCAGGAGCACTCCTCTCCAAAAACACTCCTTGGAAAGTTCTTCCTTTCCTACTCTTTGCTCTTCCTCCCAGAGCTGAGAGCAGGGAAGACTGCTCCATCAGCAGGTCTGTGACTGCAGGGTTATGAACCCCTTCGTATCTTCACCACTCAATTTTCTCTCCTTCCCTTAGAGTAGATTTGTTCACCTCCTGGTGAGCCTCAGGGTTCCCTGCACTGCTCCAGCCCAGATCTGCCCAAGGGGCTTCCAGGAGGATGAAGAAATTTGGATTTGGAACTGGGGTTATCTCGAGTTCAGCCCTCAGCCTGCAAACCTCTTGGCTTTGCTGCAAGCTGAGGTCAAGCCCCACGTACTCTGCTCTTGTTTGCATTTCCAGTGGAGTGTCAGGGTGCCGTGGGGTGCAGGAAGCACCCAGCAGGACCAGAAGCTGAGCAAAACACCACAGGCACTGCAAAGATGATGAGAACCCTGGGCCACCTTCTGCCTGGCACCTGAGCTTCAGATACATCTGATGATCCTCAAGATGTGTGAGGTCCACACTTTCTCTTGGCAGCCTGACATCTCCTCTCCGACAGCCCTGCTAAGCCTTGTGAATGCAGAGAGGGCTCTTTTTTTGCAAGCTCTCCGTCATTTCTACAGCTCCTTAAAGCCTGAGGTCACAGAGCCAGCCAGCTGCTCCAGCTCTGCCTCCCAATCCCTGTCATCCTCTCAGGCTGGGCAGTGTGCCCCACACTGGGGGTCCCATTCTTCCCCATAACCAGGAGGACATCACGACTCCTCATGCCACCCTATTTCCAGAAGTGGCTGCACTGCTGCACCAGGCTTCTCATTGCTTTCTCCCAAACCCAGGGTTTAAGCCGCCACGTATGTAAAGAAATCCCTGATCCCTGTTATAATTATCTTCCTGGCACTGCCATTTGTTGAGCTATTAGAAGAGGGCTTAGCTTTGGGCTGCACTAAAGCGCACTGAGCAATTGCCACGTTGTCAGTTACAAAAACGTGGTTTCTTTTCTCTTGCTTTTTTTTTTTTTCCCCTCCCTAAAATTCTTTCCAGATGTCTCTTTTTTTTTTTTTTTTTTTCCTTCCTCCACAGAACTACCAACAGCTGTATGACTTCAATGCGAGCCGTGACTAATCCAGCACAGAGAGCATTCAACTCCTCGGGCGTGGATCAGCCAAATGAAACTTGGATCCTGGGGATATGTGACGTCTGGAGCCATAGAACCCATGAGTGACACTGAGCTGAGGAGCAAAAGGTGCTCCAGATGTGCTTGTTCCTATTAGAAGGACCCACGTGGCATCAGACACCGTCACCAAGTGACCTCCATGGGCACAGAGGTGTTCCCTTTTGGGATGTCCATGAGGGCGGCAGCAGCATCCACACAGCATCCAGGAAAGGCTTTTAGGCAGCATGCAGCCACATACAGGGGTCTTCCCTCTCACCTTCCCAGGATCCCGACTGCAGATGTTCCTCATCTCAATGGGAAGTGGCAGTGGTGACACAGCCCCCACCACAATCTCTTTTTTCCCTTGCCTTTTCCTTTTTGTTCTGTTTATCTTTTGCTTCCCTTTGGCCGTACAGATGTTTGTGCTGATATCTGCTCCTTTCACATGCAGCAGAAGTGCTGTGAGGGCTGTGCTGACAATATAAATCAGAGTATCAGACACTCAGTAGAGCCAGGAGCCAGCACCGGGAGCAGAGACACTCTTCAGGGACACCCAAACTCCAGCAACCAACAGCCTCACTTCTTAGCTGCTGCTTTTGCTTTGCAGTGGAGCACCATGGCCACGCTGTCTGCTGTGGTGAAATGCAAGGAGAAGGGTGCTGGGGACTTCATCCTAAGCAGGAAGAACAGAAGTGCAAAACAGCCCTGAAAGGTTTGGCTGTTTGGCTGCCTCTGGCTGGGCAGCTGCTCAGGCTGAGTAATGGGCTGCAAAGTCAGAATACCGAGTGATATCAGACTGAACTGGCCTGCAAATTTCCAGGATGGGGGTTTTGCTTTTTCTCCCAGCTGAGCACTTCTGTGCCCCCTGGGAGCATGTCTCAGACACGCCATAACACTCTGCACTCTGGAAAAAGGGGATCATGTTTTCCTCCTCCTTCCCACAAGGCATTTCCTTATGGCAGCAGAGAACGGAGGAGCAAAGCCCCTTCTCCTTTCTTCTGCACCCTCCTGAGAACAGAACGCACCAATTCAGAGACCAAACTATTGCAAAACAACAGCATTTCATGCTTTAATGCAAGCCACTGTTCTGGAAGCTGCACAGACCGAGCAGGGACACGGTTTTCCTCCCAGAGAACTGATACATTCATCTCAGCAATGTGCGTAGGGGGTTCAGGGTCCCCTTCAGCCCCTCCGTCCGTTTGACTTCTCTGGATTGCCCTGCGCTCCGGGCCGCGCCTCTGCCCGCACTTGGAGCTGGGACAGCCCACCGCGGGGAGAGGGAGAGGAAGGGACCGATTTGGAAAGATAGCGAGGAGGAGGAGGAGGAGGAGGAGAGGAAACCCAGCCCACACTTTGCCTTCCTGCTGCCTCCTTCTAAAACCTGCAGACTCCTCCAGTCCTTCCCAGCTCCCGGAGTTCCCCCAGCCCTGCTCAGGACTACGAGGTACGGCCAGAGCCCCGCTCCTTCCCCCCCCTCCCCGTGACACAAAGCCCCGACCACCGCCGTGCGATGCCTTTGGGGACCCCTCCTGCCTCTTTTCTCGCTTCTCTTTGCAGCATCTCAGCTCTTAAACTGTCGCTCAGTTTCACCGCCAGACCCCCGGCTTTGGTGTCACCTGGCCACCCCTAATTACCGGACCTTATCCCTTTCTCCTCTCTGGGCTGTGGGTTATTTCCCTACCGAGGTCAGGACACACAGAATATCCCGAGTTGGAAGGGGCCCATAAGAATAACCGACCTGCAGCAAATCGGCCCCAGCGTGCGCAGTCCGGGCTGAGGCAGCGATGTTACTCACCGGGATATCTGGGGGGACGAACAAAAGAGCTCTCGGCTTTATCTCAGTGCCGCCGCTCTCGTTTTCTCCTGCGAAAACAACAAAACGAGACACTCAGCTTTCTGTTCCGAGCAGATTTCGAAACCTTTCCAGGTCCTGCTGGCCGCTTAGCTCCAGCTGCTCAACTGTCGGAGGGAGAGGCGGGGGAGGAAGGACAAAGCTCTTTTCTTTTTTGGCTTAGCTTTGATGGCTTGGAATCAGTCAGCCTCAACCCCCGTCCAGGCAGAAGAGCCCAGGGCTCTCTTCCTTTAAAGGCAGCAGCCGACCTCTGGGTGCGGTGACGTTCAGCCTTAAACTCGGTTCTTTGTGCCCCCGACGGAGCGCACCGAGCGGGACGGGAGCTCAGCTCCCAGCACAGAGAAACGCAGCGCTTTTGAGCTGCTGTGAAATTGGGGGCACCGGGGAGGTGAGCGAAGCACCGGGCGCTCGGAACAGCCCGAAACGCTCCGCCATCCCCTCCAAGGACAACAATAAACCGCGGCAGCCCGACAGGGTGGGCCGGATGGGTTTTACGTGGAAATTAAAAGCTGTCGCGTAGTGCGCAGCTGCTGCAGCCCGGCTATTGTCTGCCACATCGGCAGGAGCCGGGATGCGGGCGGTGATGGGAGGGGGAAGAGCAGAAATAAACTTTTCAAGCTTTCTGCAAGCCCCTCCTTCCTCAGCCCTCTGCTCTTCCATGACTCAGCTCCGGAGGAATGTCGGCTCCCATGGAAACTCCTCCTGGGTCCGCTGCTCGGATGGATGTCGGGGCTGTTATCGCCGCAGCGGCTGTGGCAGGGCGAGCCCGGGGAATGCTTTGAAGATGGTTCGCATTTTTGCAGCGTATTTAGCGGGGTGTTGGGGGGGGTTTCTTTGCTTTCTGCTTTGTGGAGCTGTGCATCAGTGAGAGATCAGCTTTCCGTGCTCCCCGGGAGCCGGAGGGACCCGCTTGCACCTGGCACAGCACTCCAGCAAAAGGAGAAGCTCAGGCAGGACAGCCAAAAGCTGCATTGCTTCCTCTTCCCAAGTGCAGCCCGCAAGGGGCTCATCTATGCTCTTCTCTTGGTGCTGCTTTAACTGGATGCAATTTGCAAGGCAAGCTGTGACAGCTTCAGGCCAGCACACAGCTGCGCTGGCACGAGGGCTCTCACCCTGATAGAAGTGAGCTCTGTAAAGATCTGCTGCGTTTATAAATGCAGTCGCAGCACCTCAATAACTGTTTTCAAGGTTTATGGGCTAATAGTGCAGCAGTGGGTGGCTGTGCCTTCAGTGACTGCATGGGGAGATGTGGTGGGCAGGATGTTTGTAAGCATGTGCATGGGCTGGAGGGAATTTCTCTCAGCCCTGCGAGCCCACAGTGTGTGAGGGGACCCTCTGCAGTGGGCCTGGGGTCCTTGCCTGTCCTGTGCCTCGGGGAGGAGCTGTCAAAGTGGCCAGGAGGAGGCTCCTCCCCACGCTAACGTGGCATCCCGTGGGGCTTATGCAACCCTGGCCATGGTCAGTGCCACATGGACCAGGTTCCTCCATCCCCTGTCTTCCTCCACCCACAGAAGCACTCTGGTGGGATGGGAGGAGATATCTAGGACTGAGCAGACCCATCAAGAGGCATTTATGGGAGCCACAAGAACGTGTTTACACAGCAGCTGGGAGATGAAGGCCTCACTTAGGATGCAAGTAGGGTCGAGTGTTGTCTGGGCCATGGGGACAATGCACTGTGACCTCCCCCTTGCTCCCCACGTAAAACCCAGTCAGAGCAGAGGGAATATTGCTCCACAGCCCCTGCATGCAGCTCTGAGCTCATCATGGTTCCAGCTACCAGGGAGCAGCCTTGCTGCTGTGCCAGTGCCACACCTGTGCCAGCCCTCAAGTGCCATCATTGGCACAGAACACTTTCTGCCTGGCATATTCCTTATGCCCAGGAGGTTCTGGCTTCTTAGAAAGCACTGCCTCCCGTTGGTACCTGTTGGCTGGTAGCATCCTCTTGGATAGCAGAACCATGGCAGGCCCACAGGGAGGGACGCATTGACTTGCACAGTGAGCCGTGCTCTTCTGCCAGAGCAACGTCAAAGGCTCCTGTGCTGTTATTTCAGGAGTTCTGGCCATCAGATATTCAGGAAAGGCTGCGCCCTTGCAAAACAGTCAGGGTCTCACAAATACTGCAACGTCCTCTGTGTGCAGCCTCTGACTCCAGGAAGATGTTGTTTTTCAAATAAACTTGTTTTCCTATCTCTGGCATGGGACGGCTCAGCAAGTTGTTTGCTCAGACTCCTTCATGCTCCTTCTTCCTCCAAACACAACACCGGCAGCTCCAGCTGTCTGCTGGCTCCTAGCAAGCATGTAATTCCCTGACCCCGGTTCACTGCGTGCCCAGACTTTGAAACTCAGTGCTTTAGGAGCTTGGGGAAATGATCTGAGAGGGCCTTGGTCTGGGTTGGGTTCTTCTTCCACGTGCACATGCCATGGCCTCTCCTCCAGGCTGGGCTCTGCCCACAGAGCATCACTGAACCTCAGAGAACCTTCCAAGGCAAACAAGCCCCTTGGGAGAAGCCCAGGAGCAGCCCTTACAAGCCAGGGGACGGCAGCAGGGGAGGAAATGGCCACATTCAGTACTTTTCCACCTCCTCTCCCAAAAACCACCTCACCAGGAGGGCAGAGCCAGCCATTTCAGTCAGGTCCAGGCAGGGCCCTCAACAGCCTATTAAGCAAATAAAGACAGAGGGCTGCCCCCAGCCACATCCACACAGGGGGAGTAAAGGGAGCCACAGCAGGAGAACTGAGTTCAGTGGTGGTGGAAGCATCACCTCAGCAGGCAGAAGGAGCAGGTATCCCACCGGGGAGCATGGGATGCTGCTGGCATATCCAGCACCCAGCTGAGGGGCTCCATCCTGCCAAACAGGAAGCAGGGAGCACACAGGGTGAGCTCACAGCTGCAGCTCTCCTCCCAGATCACATCGTAGCCCTTCAAGCCAGTTTGGCACCTTCAGGTCTGAGCAGGAAAGAGAGAAAGCATAGCAGAAACTCCAGCATTTGGGGTGCTAGAGATGGATGCCTGATCCCTGCCACCCCTACAGAGTCCAAGTGGGAAGCATTTTTCTAAGAGATTTAACCTTCAAGCAGCCTGCCCCTCTGTTCCCTCTTGCCTTCCTCCACTTTCTTTGAATGACAAACAAAATCATGGAGACTTTCACTGCCAGTTCTTGGGGCTCTCAGCAGGGGCTTTTAGTTTATTTTATTTTTTTTTTGGTCTGAAATAATTCCTGTGAGGGAAAGGTGAACAGCTTAGTGCAATTCTTCTAATGCATCCTGGAGAGTGATGAAAGTCTAAACCCTCACCTTCTCACTTTGCAAAATAAAAAGAATTTGTCTTGGAAACAGTATTTGGCCTAAGGTTTCAGCCAGAAAAGCCAGCATGTAGAGCTGCAGCATTGACCAGACAAGGCAGGAAATAGAGCAAGCACCCTTCTCTGCATGTCTTACTGCCAGCTGTGAGCTCAGCATGGAGCTGAGAGGCACAGGGAGCTCCAGTGCCCTCATTGCTCATCCCTGCTCTTCCTCTCCTTTATTCAGGGTTTGCTGAAAGATGAGAGCCTGGATTTTCTTCCTCCTCTGCCTGGCAGGCAAAGCCCTGGCAGCTCCGGTGAGTAATGGAGCCTCCCTCTCTGCTGCACCTAACAGGGATGTATGCGACTCCCGATGCATCCAACGGGGATTCTCTTTTACAATGAATAAAACTGGGACCCCGCTCCCACCACGGGAAGGACAGAGCAGCTTCACGCTCTCCTATAGTCCCCAAAGGATGGGGGAGGTAGTGACCTTGCTACCTGCCCCAGGGTGTGACCACCTTGGGATCATTGTCCCCAGAAACCCCCAGCTCATGGTCCTTTTTCCCTGCAGCAAGAGGCTCTGCCTGATGAGACAGAGGTGATTGAAGACCTCACCACAGAGGTAGGTGACTGCACTTCCCCCCATCACCCATCCCTCATGGCACACAGTGCCCTGGGAAGAGCAAAAGGCTTGGAAAGCTTTCCTTGGGGTGCTCTCCCTTGTGCTGTGGAAACTCCCCATAAGTGGAAATAAGCGATGTTTCTCAGGTTTCTTCCTCCAGGTATCAGTGTTTGCCTGGAAGAAGTTCTTGCATCAGCTCTTCCAAAGCATCTCTAAAGCACAGGGCAGTGGGGGCTGTGCACACCCCATGGACACAATGCCCTCTTTTGCAGGAGCCTGTAGGGGCCAACCCTGTCCAGGTGGAGGTGGGAGAGTTTGAGGAGCCTACAGAAGATGTAGAGGAGATCGTCACAGAGAGTGAGTCACTGTTCCCATGTCCCACAGCTTTTGCCCTCTAGCAAGTGGAGATGCCATCCCTTCCTGGGATAGGAGACACACAGTCACTCCAAAGAAGCCCAGGAAAAGCCCAAAGGATAGGATCTGTTTCCCAAGGGAGAGCACAGGGCAGGTTCTGACATCACTCCTGGTTTGTCCCAGATCCCTGCCAGAACCATCACTGCAAGCACGGCAAGGTGTGCGAGGTGGACGACAACAACTCACCCATGTGTGTGTGCCAGGACCCCTCCAGCTGCCCAGCCACCTCCGGCATCTTTGAGAAGGTGAGGGCAAGAAGTTGGGTGATGGGTGGGAGCAGGGAGGGACACCCCAAGGGGCACAGCTGGCTCCAGAAGTGGCAGGTCCCCTTGTCCACCCCAAGGAAGAAGTCGTGCCTCTTCAGGAGGCTCTCACACAGCATCTCCCCATCCTGTGCAGGTCTGTGGCACCGACAACAAGACCTATGACTCCTCCTGCCACTTCTTTGCCACCAAGTGCACCTTGGAGGGAACCAAGAAGGGACACAAGCTGCACCTGGACTACATTGGGCCCTGCAAATGTAAGTGGGATCCTTGCCTTAGTCAAAAGGACGGCTAACCTGAGCACAGCCCCTTAGACCAGGGTTTAAGCAGAAGTCTACATGGGTTCAGGGAGAGGGAGGGAGGATGCTGACCGCTGTGTGTGGCTTCCAGTCATCCCTGCCTGCCTGGACACTGAGCTGACAGAGTTCCCCCTGCGCATGCGGGACTGGCTGAAGAATGTGCTGATCACCCTGTATGAGCGTGATGAGGACAACAACCTGCTGACCGAGAAGCAGAAGCTCAAGGTGAGGGCTTGGGGAGGGAACCCAGGAGTTCACCCTACCAACAGAGCCCGGGGGGGGCAACCCCACACACACCTGTGCACCAAAACCACTGCATCGTTCCCAAACACCGAACTAAACCCTGCAGTTTTCTCCATGCACCCAGAGAACTCTCCCTCAAAATGCTGGCACCCCACGTGCAGCCCCACTGACAAATGCCCCCCATCTTCCCTACGACAGGTGAAGAAGATCCACGAGAATGAGAAGCGCCTGGAGGCCGGTGACCACACTGTGGAGCTGCTGGCCCGCGACTTTGAGAAGAACTACAACATGTACATCTTCCCCGTGCACTGGCAGTTTGGGCAGCTGGACCAGCACCCCATCGATGGGTGAGCATTGGCAGAGTAGGATGGGCACTTGGCACCTCTCCCTGCCCAAGGTGGTTTGGTGGCAGCAGGAGTTAGAGCAAGCTGGAGGCGTGACAAGAGTGTGATGGAGAACAAGAGCTGAGCACATCTGGCAAGGGCTGGGGTGAAGCTAGGGAAGAGGCAGCCTCACCTTCTGCCAACAGCTCTGCTGCAGAAAGAGGGTCCTGCTGCTCCCACCTCCCTTGGGTGGAGTTTCAGCATTCTCAGATTTACTGCTGGGTGACAGTACCCTAAAACACCTCCACCCAAAGACCACAGGGATGATTTCAACAGCTGAAAGAGCAGCTGCTGGCTTGGCTGTGAGCTGGACATGCGTCTGGGAGCAGCCAGTGAGCACCTCCATCACAGGCTCTTTAATGACTAGCACAGCTGGCTGCATAACCAGACACACATCCATGACAGTGCTCAGCAGTGGATGCTGGGAGGGCACTGGCAGAATCACAGAATGACCACAGTTGGGAGGGACCTCAACGAATCTCCAACCCCCCTGCCACATACAGGGGCACCAACCTCCCCGTTTAATACTAGACCAGGCTGCCCAGAGCCCCGTCCAACCTGGCCTAGAACACCTCTAGGAGTTCAAAACGAAGTGAGGGCTGGGGTCCCACTCTGGCTCCCACAGCCAGCAGCAAGATGCTGACAGTATGTGACCTTGGCAGGTACCTGTCCCACACTGAGCTGGCCCCGCTCCGTGCCCCACTCATCCCCATGGAGCACTGCACCACCCGCTTCTTTGAGGCCTGCGACTTGGACAACGACAAGTACATCGCCCTGGAGGAATGGGCCAGCTGCTTTGGCATTAAGGAGCGTAAGTACCTGCCTGCAGACCCCTTCTAAAAGCCCCCATTGGGATGAAGCAAGGGTTCCTGGGAGTGGAACGCAGGGGAGAAGTGGGGGTGCAGGAGTGACCCCTGCAGGGCAGCATTGTCCTCTAACTTCAATTCTCTCTTTTCCTTCCACAGAGGACATAGACAAGGATCTGGTGATCTAAAGCCCCAGCTTCCTCCTCTCTACTGCCAACTTTGTCTTGTTTTAACCTTCCCACTTCCTTCGGTTTTTGAATCGCTTTTTTGTTTTGTTTTCCCTGGGAACAAGGTGCTAATATAGGTCTAAACGTATGTAGTATGGGTGCTAAGAGAAATAACAGTCCTTCATAGCTAACCTGTTACCACTAGATTACCCACCAGCTACTTCCACCTGCTCTCACTCTCCTCACTCTCTCTCTCTCCAATGTGTCTTCACAATTGACCAACCCTGTTCCTGTCCTAAATATCTGCTCCATCTCTGTATCCACTCTCAGACCGACTCCTGTTAACTCCTGACTACCAGCACAGACTGCCCGCAGGGAAGGCAGAGTCAGAAGATGTGGGAAATGGGGCTTTCTGAGCAGAGCAGCTGCAGGTGACATTGTGGCCACCTGGCTCGTGGTATGGGGAGAGCTGAGGAAGGCACAGAAAGGCAGGATGTCATTTTGCTTTTTGGTCCCCTTCCCCCCCTCGTAAGTTTCATTCCCAGGGCTTGAATTTAACAATCACTAGGCACCAAAACAAAGGGCTAATCCAAGAAACAAGTGGGGAAGCACACAAAAAATAATGAAAAAGAAAACCAAATGAAACAAATACATCCCATCCTGTAAAACCCCCTTAAAAAAATAAAGGTTTGAAAGTGCTTCATGCTTTACCATTACTCACCAGTTGTACTGCAGTTGTGTTCTGTAAGGTGCGATGCGGTGCAGACGTGGGTGCTGGTGGCTGGCCTGGCTCTTGTGGCCCTGCCGCAGCTGAGATAAGGCACTCAGCTGTCCCACATCACGGTGTCCTCAAGCACATCCCACCTCTGCTTTGGTCATCCTTAAATCCCAGCCCTGTTCTTCCAGGGGAGCTGCGTATGCCACACACACACACACACACACACTGTGCACTGTTTCCTCTTGATGAGGATTTGTGGGTTGAGGGATGGGTGGGAAGGGAGAAATATTTGGATCTTGCTTTATGGAAAGAGTTCTGATGGGAGTGAAAGGGTGATTAAGTGTCACAGGCTGAGAACTCTTTCTGACCTCTGAATGTTCCCTGTGCCTTATATTATTACATTTCTGCCACAGTGTGAGCAACCCAATGAGTCTCTGTAATAAAAAAGTACTGATTTGAAACACTGATGCAGAACGAGCTTGCAGTGTTCCTCTGTTTCTTCCCACCCCAAACTGGGAGGAGGGCAGCACACGGATCCCACAGAAACAACACTTCCACACATCCCAGGTTTGACCTCCAGGACTCCAAAGATGCTGAATATTCAGGGTCTTCATCAAGATAGCAATAGGACAAAAGGGAATGGCCTTAAGCTGTGCTAGGAGAGATTCAGGTTGGATATTAGGAGAAATGTCTTCCCAGAAAGAGTGGTGATGCAGTGGCACAGCTGCCCGGGGGATGTTTGAGAACTGTGGAGATGTGGCACTGAGGGATGCCATCAGTGGGCATGGTGGGATGGGCTGAGGATCTTAGGAGTCTTTTCCATCCTGTGAAATCAATCCATTCTGTGATTTGGAGTACCTGTGAAGAATGGCCGGTTCCCTCAACCATCTCCAAGAAGGCATCAATGTGAAAATTACATTCTGGGGAGGAAGATGGGCTCAGTGCCACGCTTTATGTCAAGGCTGAGAAGAACTGCACGGACTGCGGCACACGGGAGGGAGCTTTGCAGAGTGCAACGTTAATAGAGGACTTTGGGAGGCGCTAAGTAATTGCCTAATAGTTGTGCCTGGGATAAGCGACACTCCTGCTGGGAAAAGAGTAATGATGGGAAACCTAAACAGATTCTCCTACAAACTGATGTGCCAGCTGCCGGGAAAAGTGGAAAGGCACAACAGTAAAAAAAAAAAACACTGGCAATTGCACAGGCTAAAAATATTCACATGGCAAAGAGTTAGGCCATGACATCCCTGTGCATCTCATCCCTTAGCACAACACACTCAGACAGGTGCTGTAGGATCAGGTGAAGATGGCTGCCTGCTCAGCCAGGAGCTCCTCCTGCTCCACCAAGATGCAGTTGCACTCCTTCCAGCCACAGCTCTCATGCAACAGAAGGCATCCCAGCCAGCTGGTAAGTCAGCAGCTCCATCAGCAAAACCAGTTATCACAGCTCAAGGAGAAGAAAGGATCCGTCTCCAGGGCTGTGTCCCATCTCAGGGGATGATGCTCATGTCCCAGCAGTTTGGCAGAGCCCAAAGGATCCAACTCAGCACAGTTGTCCTGGCTGCAAGGCAGCATCAAAGCCACCACAGAAGGTTGCAGTAGGGCAGCTCTTAACCCTTAGAAGCCCACAGCCTGAAGTATCAGGTTGCTGGAATTTCACTGCCTTGGGGCAAACGCCATACCTGGGGTTAAATCAGGACTTGAGGAATAAACTGGCCTTTTTAAACTTGCAGACCCAGACGGTGGATGAGAACAGCCATCTCCCTGTTACAGCTGAAATTGAGCCTTTCAGAGCCTGCTCAGCAGTAAAGGAACACGGCTGTACTTTCCACGTGGAAATTCTCCCTGTGGTTAGTGCTGACTGAGGACATGGTTTGCAAACACAGGAAAAAAAGAGAACAGAAAAATAACGTCAAGCTCTGGATCCGAAGGCAGCATGACACAAGCACCATCTGGCTCAAGGAGCACTCACAGGCAGAGCTCATTCACTTCATGGGTTGGTTGCAGTCCTCAGGGCAGTGCCACAGAGCAGTGCACTGAGCATCCTCCTGCCTGCATTCATCAGAGAGGATGGGAGGGGAGTAACAGCTGTGCTTCCAGCAGAAAGAATGCATGAGGAAAGCCTTTCAGACCTGGAGGGGGAGTGCCTGACTCTCTCCCTCAAATTTCTGGACCTACTGGTTAGTTATTGCTTGATTCAATGGGGCATTGAAACTCAAAGATGTTTTGTTCCTCCAAGCTCAGAGCAGACAGAGGCAGGACACAAGTGTGGACAGGAGCTGGGTTAATGCTGCCTCCCAGCTGCTCAGGTGCAAAGCAGTGGCACAGCAGGTAATTATTTGTGTAGGGGATTACAGTGTCTGCACTGACCACACAGAATCATAGAATCATTAAGGCTGGAAAGATCGTAAGTCCAACAATCCACCTGCCACCAGCTCTGCCCACTGAGCACATCCCTCAGTGCCACATCTCCACATTCCTCAAACACCTCCAGGCACGGTGATCCATCACCTCTCTGGGCAGCTGTGCCACTGCCCAACCACTCACTCAGAGAAGTTACACACTGTTTTATTTCATGGCCTCCCGCATATCTCATGGCCACTTCTCAATTAAACCCACTTTCCTTCAGCTTTAGTGTTGCACATCCAACAATCACAGAAACTCTGATTCAGTGTTTCTGCAGAAATGACTTGCCCCAGGCCACATCTTTATGTGCATTCCCTACATTTTTTTTAATTTCGTATTCCTTTTGATCACTGCTTCAATTGGACCAGAGCGACTGTGCAGATCTCGTTATTTCTTGCCTGAACATCTCACTGATCACCTTTGCTGCCCAGGTTCAGGAGCTTTGTTGCTATTGGGTTTGGGGCCAAAATTCCCCACATGCTATGCCAAGCCTTCCTCAGTGCTCGTGTCCCCACATGAGTAACACTGGCCTGCAAGCACCTGAGCTGGACACTGATGGAGGCTGTGGTAACCTCTTTACTTTTGCCACAACCTCTCTCCCTGAAGCATCTGCTGCTGGGTGTAGAGATGGGTCAAGGCAGGCTTTGGTCCTGCCATCATCCTAGATGAATTACACCACAATCATGGACTGGCTGCCTGGGCTTGAGCAGAGTATCCTGTGGGATTCCTCATTTCCTCTTGGTCACGGTGCTCCAATGAAATCCTCACTGTATCACATCAGGTGGTCTTTCACTACCTGGGATCCGGCTGCAGGATGAAGTCCCAGTGCAGATTTTCATGCCCTTCAAACAGCTGTTCCCTATCCTGAGCACTACCCACACGCAAGTGAGCCTCTACCCTGTTCCACAGGAACACTTCCTCTTCCTGTACAGCTATTCAGAGCACACATTGGATGCTGGAGCATGTTACTTGCATGCCTTGTTTGCATCCCGCTCCTCAAGCCAGCAGCTGGCATTTGATGAGCTACCTGTGGCAGGAAGAAACATGCTGCAATAATCAGAGGGCAAATCTGGAGGACTACAGTTCACCCCTCAGAGGCAGATGCCCACATCCCTCACACATTAACCATAACACAGGGCCTGTGCATTCAAATGCTCTCAAACCAGTGCCGGCAAACTTCTTCCCTGGCTGTGGAAGCTCACTTTCCTGGAGATCCTGGTACACTGCAGGCAAGCTGGAAGGAGCATCAGGATAATATCCCCCCTCAGTAGTGCAAAGAATTAATGAGATTTGGAGGAGAAGCCCAAGCCCCTCTCCTCAGCTGCCTCTCTGCCTAAAAACTGGCAGGGTGAAAGTGCCCTGCACATGTTTCACATCTGAAAACCTGGTTACCGAGCAGCTCTGATGCCCCAGTGTCACTATGCTCAGCCCACAGCACAGCACCTAGCCCTTCTCCTTCTCCCTTCACTCCAGACCTCATCACTGTCAGCCCAAGCAGCTGCAGTGCCACAGCAGGAAGTCCTTTGGGATGGGTCATCCACCCAAGAATGATGAGTCCTGGCTTAACAAGCCAGATGTTGGATGGGAAGGAACTCTTCTGGGGTTCCCACTGCTGGCATAGCCAGGTTGCCTTCCTCACCATTGTGGGGTGCAAGCACTCAGCTCCAGGCTCTGCTAATGGCTCCCTTTTTCCTCTGCACTGGAGCCTTCCTTTCTTTTTGCCTCCAGCCGTACCTTTAACATGTGTGGGCAAACCCAGGCTCCTGAACGCAATTCAGTTCATGGCAAAGGTGTCAGGGCATGTTCTGCTCTGAGAGGAGGAATGGTTGAATTGCTGGGGAATGGCCAGCCTTGAGCTGCCAGGGCTGAGAAGCCTGGCTTCCTAGTTGATCCATCTTGGGAGCTCCTAAGCTAACCCAAAGAGGAATGGGTTGGCAGATGGATGGGGGCAAGACCCCCTCTGCAAAGGGCTCCTTCCACAAGGGTGCCAAAGGATCTGAGGGAAGAAAAAAATGAATGAATTTTCCCCCTGCTTTGGCTTCCCATCTGCCAGCGCGTTTCAAAGTCTTCTTTCCTTCTAGGAGGAAGATCAAAAAAATCTTTCCCTTTTGTGCAGACAACAGAAACCACACGGCAGAACCATACTTAGCACACTTGTGTGCACACACACACGTGGGTTCCTGGTTAACTTGCCAAGTTTCCTCTCCTCCTAAGTTGTTCCACACCCTCCATGGGCTCAGTCCATCCTTGCACAGCCCCTTTGGTCCCAGTCACTGTTACACCATACTAAAGCTGGGTCCAGACAGCTGTGAATCCTCCCACCACTCTGATGGAGGGCAGCAGTCAGAGTCCTCAATCCAAGCCACAAGCCTGCAGGTTGGTCCTGCTGCCAGCCACAGCTGGTGCCTAGCTCTGTGCATCCTTGCTTTGCCTCTGCTCCCCTCCAGCCTGATATAAGCTGATTGCCCAGGGAGGGCAGCTGGCCCTGGACCACATAGCGCTGCAGCCTCAAGCTCTTCAGAGTTGGACACCCAACTCCCATACCCATTTCTCTGCGTATCTACTCTGAGCCCACACACCTTCCCAGGAAGT